GCCGCCTCGCCTCCGCAGAGGTGACACCAACCCACTCTGCTCTGCGCTGGCACGTTACCAAATCCGTGGCTGTAAGCCCACCTCCCGCGGCTGCAAACCCGCCTCTGCTAAGCAAGCAGCCCCCCGCCCCCGGGCAGCCGGAGCAGGGAGGGAGCAAGCCCCGGCAAGGTTATCGCGTTTGCGTTATTTATGGGAAATTGGGCACACTAACGAAGCCACATTTATCAGCGGGCTGGAGGCAGGGCTGCTGCCTGGCCACAGGCCAATTAGCAGGCAATTATGTCTCTCCAAGCTGCCGCAGCATCCCCTCGCTTTGGGGTGGCCTGGCCAGCTCAGTCGGGAGCTGTTTGCAGCCCCTCCATGCACGTTGTTGTCCCCATTGCCCCCCGCCCCCAAAGAGCGTTTTAGCCCCGCTGGCAGGATTGTGTCTGTCCTGCGCCCGTACGTCCTTCCCGAGCCGCTGACGTGACCTCTGGTCCTGCCTAGGTAACAGAAACGCGGACGGGGCCGCTCGGCTGCAGCAACTACGACAACCTGGACTCGGTCAGCTCCGTCCTGGTGCAGAGCCCCGAGAACAAAGTGCAGCTCCTGGGTAAGGGCCGGGGACGGACGCGGAGGGCAGAGGGACGGAAGGTGCCACAGCCGGAAAAAAGCACGTTATCCCCTAGCAAATAATTAAGGGGGCCTTTAGGAGCCATGCGAATCTTGGGAAATGAAGGCCCTTTGGCACTGCGATCCAGCCCCGCGGGGCGAAGCTGGAAAGACGTTTTTGTTGCCGCACCCGCGCGCGGTCCCAAGCACCGCGAGACTCGGGGCGGCAGGGGCCGATCGATAACCCGCTGGTGAGAGCCGGGAGGCAGGGATGCGCGGAGACAGCGCTGCTCCGGGGATGGAGTTAAATGCCACCGTAGGACGCTCGTGGGCCTGCAGAGGCTCTAAGGGAGGACGGGGCACGCTGCAATTAAGCTGTTGCTTTTAATTTAAGGGCTGGGAGGAGGGAGGGAAATCAAAGCTGGACAGGAAGGGACTGCTGCTCATCTGCCAAGAGGAGCCAAGATCAATAAAGAGCCCAGACAAGTGGCTCCACAGCAAATTGATATGAATATGGGATTCAGCCAGCGGTGAGACTCAGCACAGCGGCCGGAAGCGGCCGGGGCTGCGAGGTGCTGTCCTGTCGTCACCCAGGGGCTGCGGGGGCCAGGCCCCGGCCACGGGAAAGGCTCCCTCCCTCCCGCCCTCGCCTGGCCGAGGGTCCGACCCGGCCGAATCTCAGCAAGGTGCTGAGAACCTGCAGGGCGGGAGGCCGGGGCAGTGGCGGCCGCCCTCAGCTACATCGCCTGCAGCTCCGAGGGGGAGCTGGTGTGCCGGAGCAACGACTGCTGCTGCCAATGCCGGCCTGCCTTCCCCCAGTGCAACTGCCCCGAGTCGGACCTCCAGGCCATGGAGGCCAGCCTGGCCCAGCTCCAGCACGCCTGGGAGAACCATCACGGCCAGTTCGAGGAGTCAGGTGAGGGCAGGGCGAACCACCGGTGACCTGGAACCAGCTCCGAAACCAGCATGGGGATCACAGAGTTGGAAGGGGGCTCTCACAAGGGCACAGCCCCCTGGTAAACTCTCCTTTGCCTTCCTTGCGTCCTAAATAGAAAACTGAAATCCCCCTCGTCAGCGGGTGCAGCAGAGGCTCCGGGGCAGGATCCAGGTCCTCTGTGGTAGGACCAGGTTTCACCGGTCAGCTCAGCTCCCGTGCGGCCCCAAACCGAGCCATGTGGGCAAGGTACAGAGTAAATCCAAGTAACACCACTTCTTTGTGTTCATGCCCACAGATCTCCCAGTCTCATGTAGATGGGTCTTGCTGTAAAGACCTTTAAGCCTACAGGCATTTTCCATTGGGAGTGGCAACCTCCAGGGACTGCAGGGCACACTACGTGTAGGAACAGGGCATGCTCACCTCTTGGCTTGCCCAGCATCCAGCCTTGAGCACTGCAGAAGTCACTGCAAGCGCTGCACAGTGTGCTCTTACTGCTCTAGCAAACCTTAAAGCTCCCAGAGACCAAACTGAGAGGCGGTACAACGCAGAAGGAGAAGGCCTTCCCCCAGACCATGCAAAGACCCTTCCCACCAGTACTTTTTGGCTATACATCGAGTAGAGGCCAAGTGCTGGGCATTCAGACTGAGGGGCAGAGCAGGGAAAATCACCTGTTGGTAGGTCAGATGGAGGCAGTTTCAGCATCACCTCTGCTGTCTTCCCTTGCTGCTTGCCACTGCAGCTATACTAACTCAGTCCCTCTCCCCACAGAGGAGTTTCAGGCCCTGGTGAAGAGACTCCCAGGGGACCGTTTCCTGAACAGGACAGCCATCTCCCACTACTGGGCTATGGACCTGGATGTCCAGCATCGCTACCAGCAGCTGGGCACCAGCTTGAAGCTGCTGTCCAGGAAAACCCACCGAATCATCCGACGGCTCTTCAACCTCAGCAAACGCTGCCACAGGCAACCTCGCTTCAAACTGCCAAAGGAGAGGTAAGATGCTTCCTCATCAGCCATACCAAGCCAGCCCTGCTGGCTTGACCCTGTCCCCAGGCTGGGGCACAGGCCAAATCCCCGAGCGGGGTCAGATCCTGCCCATCTTCCCATAGGTAGGACTAGAGGAGCCCCCACCATGATGGGGGCAGCCTGGTGGTAAGAAGGCAGTGGAGGCAACTTTGCCACCCTGGAATGTGGCCAAGACAGGTTGGGTTAAGGCCTGGAGGTAGAAAATCACACTTAGCTCAGAGAGGATCACCATAAGTGCAGTATGGTCCCAGAAAAACGCACACAAGTCCTCCCTCCCTAGAGAAAGGGAGTCGCTCACCAACAAAGGTCCCACATAAGCATCCCTCCTCCCTTGTCTCCTTCTCCACTAGGTCTCTACCGTACTGGTGGAGCCGCGCTCAGTCGCTCCTGTACTGCAGTGAGACCACTGTGCCTGGGACTTTCCTGGAAGAAAGCCACAGCTGCACTTGCCCCTCTGACCAAGCCTCCTGCCAGGGGCCCATACCATGTGCCTTGGGCGAAGGGCCAGCCTGCGCCAGCTGTGCCGAGGACAACAGCACCCGCTGTGGGGCCTGCAACCATGGCTACGTGCTCACCCAGGGCTTCTGCCGTCCCGAGGTAGCTGACTCCCTGGAGCACTACCTGGGGCTCGAGACGGACCTGCAGGACTTGGAGCTTAAGTACCTCCTCCAGAAACGGGACAGCCGCATTGAGGTGCACTCTATCTTCATCAGCAATGACATGCGCTTGGGGAGCTGGTTTGACCCCTCCTGGAGGAAGCGCATGCTCTTGACCCTGAAGAGCAACAAGTACAAACCTGGGCTGGTTCACGTGATGTTGGCCCTCTCCCTGCAGATCTGCCTCACCAAGAACAGCACCTTGGAGCCTGTCATGGCCATCTATGTCAACCCCTTTGGGGGAAGCCACTCAGAGAGCTGGTTCATGCCCGTCAACGAGGGCAGCTTCCCAAATTGGGAAAGGACTAACGTAGATGTCTCTGCCCAGTGCCAGAACTGGACGCTCACTTTAGGGAACAAGTGGAAGACCTTCTTTGAAACGGTCCACGTCTACTTGCGAAGTCGCATCAAGTCTCTGGATGACAGCTCCAATGAGACAATCTACTATGAACCCTTGGAGATGGCAGATCCCTCCAAGAACCTGGGGTACATGAAAATCAACAGCTTGCAAGTCTTTGGCTACAGCCTGCCCTTTGAACCGGACGCTATTCGCGACCTGATCCTTCAGCTGGACTACCCCTACACACAGGGCTCCCAGGATTCAGCCATGCTACAGCTCTTAGAGATCAGGGACCGGGTGAACAGGCTGTCACCCCCTGGCAAAATCCGCCTCGACCTCTTCACGTGCTTGCTCCGCCACAGGCTCAAGCTGGCCAACAATGAAGTGGCAAGGATCCAGTCCTCCTTGAGGGCCTTCAATGCCAAGCTGCCGAACACGGTAGAGCATGAGACAGGCAAGCTGTGCAGCTAACAGCCAGGGCTGCGCAGAGCTCAGAGCGAGGGGGCTGGGAAAAAGGACTCCAAAAAAAAATTTTAAAAAAATCTTAAAAAAGAAAATTAAAGCAAGGCCTTACCTTAGTGCCAACTGCGTGCTTCCACGGTGCCCCCAGTGAGCGGCTGAAGAGTTGGCAGGGCTCACGCTGATGGAGGAAGCTGGCAGGAGTACACAGGGTGGCTCGCACAGCTCAGACTGGCTTCAGGCACAGGGACGTTGCCAGCAAGCCCAGCCTGCAGCGCTTTAGTTTTAATGCACCTTGTGGCTGTCACACTGGGGAGGACGCGCGGCTCCCGTGGTTGATGCAGGGTGGGGGAAGCAGCTGGACAAGAGGCAGCTGCGGGCAGGTGAGGAACAAACCCTGAGGTGCCGTCAGCCCAGCGCACTGAGGGTCCTCCGCGCCCTGTCCTGGGGAGAAACCGGCGACGTCCTCACTTTTGTATTCTTTTTAAGAGAGGTTTCTACCACCACATTTGCTTTACATCCCTGTGCTCCTTCCTACGGCTGTGTCCTTGCACACAAGCCCGTGGCATGGGGCTGGGGACATCCCCCGGGGCCTGTTTGCCCCGCCGTGGTAAGGGCGGGCGTCTCGGTGAGCATCCCTCTTCCGCCGCGCTCGACCATGGTACGCCAAGCCGAGGGGCATCGTCATCGCTCACGCGGGCAAGGACTCAGCATCCGCCCCATGGACGTTGCTGTTACGGACGGAGGTGGAGATCTCTGGGCCACTTTTCCTTATGACAACAACAACAACAAAAAAAAAAGAAAAGAAAGAAAAAGTTTTATTTATGTATTTGATTGTTTTGTTTTGGAGGGCTGCTTTTTTTTTTTTTAACCTATTTATCTGGGGAGGGTCATTCTTTGTCAGTGGCTCCAGCCAAGAGCCATCTTAGCAAAATGTTATCTGTTTAATATATTTTTTAAAAAAATGCCTTTCTGAGCAAAAGAGCAACCAAAAACAACCAGAAAAAAAAGACAACAAAAAAAAAAGTTACCATCATCTTTGGCCCTGGCTTTTCCATTGCTGTGCTCAGGAGGGGAGCTGAGCACAGCTTGGCGCAGGCCACGGGGAGGAGGTGGCTAGATGCCCCAGTGCCACAGCTCTCGCTCGCTCCCTCTCGCTCTTGCATTTGCTCCCGGTTTTGCACCAGCAGCTCCCAGTTTGGAGGCCAGAGGGGGCCTCCTGGCCAGCCAAGGCTTTCATTCCTGCCCCAGGTCAGGCCAGCCGTTCGCTGATGGCACAAACCTCTAGCGTCCTTCTGGGCTAAAACCACCCTGGGTTTTGTGCAGCTCCTGACTTCCAGTGGGAGATGGGCCAAGTTGCTCCCCCAGGGCATGGCCAGCAGCACGGCAGGTCCTGGTGGCTCTGCCCCAGGGCAGATGCCAGCGGGTGCCGGGGCAGCGCAGGGACAGGGCTTGGCTCCAACCCCATGGCCAAAGAGCCCTGGTTGCCTGTGCTGCTTTAAACACCTATCCCCAGTTAATGTTTGCCTGCAAATCCCTTGCGCATCCAAAGAGAGGAGAGCTAATGCCTTATTTCCAGCTCCTCCCTCCACGTGGTTTCTCTATCCCCACTGCAGGTGCACGCCAAAAGCAGACAGATAAGATGACCCTTAGAGATGGTGAATAACTGACCCTCCTCCACCCTTTCTAGGCCACTTCCAATCTTATAGCCAGTTATGGCATCGCCCATCAGTCATCTCTGTCAGCCTGAAGTGTCTTAGCTCCCCAGCTTGGTCTGCTCCATACTTTTGGTATCCTTGAAGCCCTTCTCGGGGCCTTCTCTAGCATATAAGCAGACAAATAAAAGCCACCAAAGAGGCCCTTCGCCTGGGAAGGCCATGCCCCAGCTCCTGCCAGCTACTGCTGTGCAACATGGAGAACTTGGTCCTCCTCAGCTCGTCCCATAGGGCAGGCCGGCATGACCCCCTCACCGTGCCATGACCAGCATCCACCGTCGGAGGATTTGCAAGCCGCAGCTTGCCGTTTAGAGGTCCTCTCGGTGTTGCACCTTGCCCGAGGGCGGCGTGGTGATGCTCTCCCCCATACCTTGCCTTTATGGGCTCAGGTAACCAACGGCCTCAGCGAGGATTTGGGGCAGCCGATACCCCTGCGAATGGATGGCAGGGGGGAAGGA